CAGTGTTCAGGGCAATCATTCTTCAATAAAAGATAACTTTCTGTCATTGTTTGGAAGATGTCTACTGTTTTGTATGTAAGGTTAGCTTCTTTTATTGTTTAGGTTATTAATTATGAATGTATTATAAAATGGCTTATGGATATATTGAAAATATCTTCTCTGATTTGTATCCCCTTTTTGTGTTTCAGACTCCTGGGAGAGTTGGCTCTCAAGGTTCTGATTTAGATTCAGCAGGAACGCCTATAAACACAGATGTCAATAATGAAAGCTCTTCAGAGGTATGAAACTTAAAATTTGATAATAGAATTCAATTTAAGGGGAAGTTACCAATATTTAGAGTAACAATTGGCAACTTAAACTTGTATTTTGTGGAAAAAGTTTTCATAAAGTTAAAAATTTGAAATGACTTTTGAATCATAATTGTTTAGTCTTGAGAAAGTTTGTTAACACTGAAACAATAGTACTGTGTTGTCAATTTGTTTTTAATGTTAATGTGTCAATGTAATGAAGGATTCTTTTCAATCTACTCCTAAAGAATAACTGGTCAGTTATCAAGTTATTTGTATGTACTGTGGGGAAATAACTAATGAAAACTTAAATTATAAAATGTGTACAGTTGGTCTTTGTGTCTGTGGGTTTCCCTCACTTACCAAACACCAACCAAGGAAGCAAAGCCCCAAACTCCCTGCTGTCGAGTTAGTCCTGACTTATAGTGACCCAATAGGCTTTTGGGTTTCCAAGACTGTAAATCTTTAGGCACAGAAAAATTAGTATTATTCTGTGATTGAATCAACTGGCAAGTTCCAACTGCTGACCTCATGGTTAGCAGCCCAATATATAATCAACGACATTACCAAGACTCCCCTCCCCTGCGAGGGATCAACCCATCAAGGAGCAAAAGTATTCAGGAAAAAATTATTCCTAAAGAACAATGAAATGGTCAAAACAATTCCTCATAAGCTAAGAGGAAGTATAGTATTTAGGTATTACACGTAATCGAGAGGTAATTTAGGTATTATAAGTAATCTATTTACTTAGGTATTACAAGTAATCTAGAGGTGATTCAAAGGCACAGGGGGGTATGTGCATATTATACGCACATAGTATGCCCTTTTATGTAAGGGGCTCGAATGTCTATGGACCTTGGTGTTAACAGTTGTTCGGGAAGCAGTCTCGAGAATACTGAGGATTGATTATACATTATTTATTGACTTTTAAAACTTTTTCACAAATGTGAAAATATTTTTATATTTTATAGCTCATTTAAAAATTAATGGTGAATAATCAAATTAGTCCTTATTATGTACCCTACCCAATATTTGACCTCATGAAGTGATCATTGAAGATATGAGTTCTTTTTTTTTTTTTGCATTGCCCTTAAGTTTATTTCAAACTCTTTATTCCTTTCTTTTTCTCCTCTTATCTCATATAAAAGCTTTGTAGAAACCATGGAAACTGGACCTAATCATATGTAATTCACTTGGGTAATCAAATAATACATATCTACTTCTATTTATCACACTAAATAAATTAAAAAATATGTTATTTTTAACTGATGTACAAGCTATATAAATGTACATATGGTATTAAAAACTATGTGTATTAATAACTGTGCATTTCTAGAAAGCAAATTTTCCCTTTTTTTTCTTTATTTTATTGGGGCTCATACAATTCATCACAATCCATACATACAGCAATTGTATAAAGCAGACTTATACATTTGTTGCCCTCATCATTCTCAAAATTCGCTTTCCGCTTGGGTTCCT